ATTACGAAAAATTACTTCAAAATTTAAAAAAGGGGTTAATAAGATAAAAATTCATTTATTTTTTTTTTTTTTTTATATGAGAAGATACCAACATACGTTAAGGAACATTTGTTACTCTAATTTAAGTGATTGCAATTTGCAATTTAAACCCAAAACAAAATAAAAACGATAACAGATAAAAGAAAATTATAAAGGAAAATGCACAAAAGTGCAGCTAACAAAACATGCCAGATTAACCCCTCAAGATGTTTGCAAATAGGTTTTGAATTTCATTATAAAAAAACTCAGAGCAAAGGATTAACATGTAAACATCAATTATTTTGAATTATATTTCAACACTACAAAAGTTAAGCACTGGAAAATTAAAGAGATTCAATATGCAATATAGGTTAGGGATTAGGACTATTTTCAAATCTCATAAATAAATACATAAAAAAATGTTCTTTTAGAATTTCTACTAATTACAAATTAATTATCAAATAAATTTAATACATTTTATGAAAATAATATGTAATGATGACAAAGAAGCCATTTTTTAAAAGTTAGACGAATTTGAATAGCAAAGAATAGACAAGAACAAAAATTTTGTTAATTTATTGAAATTTAGGTGACCACACAACGCTCTTTCGAGTATTGCCAAATACTCATCCTTAGTGGTCTCAGGAAATATTCGAATTTCTTTTTAATTAGTTTATAGTCCGTATATAATTTGTTTGGACTACAAATACCAGGCTTAAAACTCGTATCTGTCATATAAGAAGCAAAAACTAATTGTGTTTTTCCACAAGGAGCCAAATTTTCAATGCTTAAGCTCCAGATCCAAAAAGCAAAAAAGCACTTCAAACCTTTAAAGTTGGTTTTTTATTTTAATTTTATGTAGTTATATAAGAATACATATAAGGCTATATATATATATAGCGTGATATTATGTAAAATAAAAAATATATATTGCCTGATATTATGTAAAATAAAAAAATCAACGTAAAAGTTTTATATTTATAGATAAGGCTATATATATTGCCTGATATTATATAAAATAAGAAATCAACGTAAAAGTTTTATATTCAAATCCACAGAAGCCTTTAAGAACACAATAATAATAATAAAAAAAGGGAACTAGTTCCGATTCTGTATGGTCAGTCACAAATACAATTAATTAAAAAATAATAAAAAAAAGTTTTGTTACTATTTTACTACTGTTCGATGAAAATCTCTCTCTATTAAAAACAATAGTTTATATTAAGAATTTAGTTCTTTCGTCAAAAACTGACATTAAAAATCAATTTAATACAAATTATTCCTGAAACTGATACTGCATTCAAGTTTAGGAACTTACGATCACAACAGTAAGGAATCATAACTCAATCGAGTTTAAATTCGTTCCTGCAAAGTGTTTATTGAAGATATAAAGGACGTCACGCAATGTAGACCTGATCTGCAGTTAGATCATATAAAGGAATTGACACGTTTAATCAGGACAAATAACAAGTTAACATTTGGCTTTGTTCTAAACTAATTCTTATCGCTGTAACATCAAAGGATGTAGAAGTGATCTGCAGTTAGAACATACATTAGGAATTAACAAGTTTAATCGCGACAAGTAACAAGTAAATATCTTACTATATACTGACCTAAGTCTACACTGTTCAAACATTCTAACATTACACCATTCAAACATTCTGATCTGCAGCTTTAAAGGTTTAATCCCAGTAAGTAACATGTTAAAACCTGGCTATATACACTGATTTAAATTAATTTTCAATATCTTATTCGAACTTATTAGAAAGTACAATTTTCTATTAATTTCGTTTGGATCTATCAACTTTATAGCTAAATAATTCTGATAAATTTAATTTGTAATAAAATTAAATTAAAATTTTTAGGGTTTTTTTTATATATTTAAAAAACTCTAAACTATATTTTTAAATATCTAAGCCTTTTGATTTGTGTAACAAAATGTCACACACGAAGTCATCAATAATTGTTCTTTTAAAACAATCTACATTAGTATCTAATATCAACACTTATGTATAGAATATGGTTTCAATATTTTAAATTCAATGAGCTGTGACGTGAAGACAAAAATACTTTATAATATGATAATATGTTGTAAAAGGACACTTTTATGGGAAGTTTAACACTAATACTTGTCTTAATAATTGAGTTACATATGAGCTGAACATGTGTTCCTCTATATAATTACTTCAATATGAATTTAATTAGTAGTTCATGACCGAAGTTCATAAAGATATTTTTTTAAAAGTTAGAAGGCAAAAAATATTTCATAGTTTGGTCTAATGTCCTTCCAAATCGTCAGTTAACATTAACAGCCTATTCACACAGCACACGCAATTTTATTTCTGATTGTTATTTCCCTCATTCAGTTCGATTCACTAAAAACCTATTCACACAGCCGAACGTTGCACATAAAATTATTCACAATATCGCTACATATTTTTTTATTATAGCTTACGATTTTAATGGAATCGGATTGCAATTTTAATCTAAATGGTTCATGTTAAACCTAATTGGTTCGATAATACAGTTATAGAGTTAGAATTATCGAACTATACAAAACCAAATTTTCACATTTCGTTTATTGTAATAAATCGAAATGATCTGGTTGAACAACTACTTACAAAAATAGTGCTTTTATTTAAAAGAGTAACTTCTGATTCTTTAAAGAAGACAGCCTTATTATTACGTATCATACATTATCTATCATAATTATTTAATTTATGTATTAAAACTTCAATTGAGCTATTATACAGTAGACTTAGGTAAAGATAATACGTTCGTTCATTACAATTTGTAAGTGATATGTCAAGAGCAAAAAAAAAAAAGAAAATTTGAATTAAATATATTAAATTTTATGTCTTTTATATTTAGTCTTCCAATTAGGCAAGACTTTTTATAGTTTACTCAAATTAAAATAACATAAAAGTGATACTTTCTAGGTTTAACGAGTTGAACTTTGCTATTTTGGCACATATGAAGAATAATTAGATAGTCTGTTATAAATTCCATTATTATTGTGAAATATGTGGAAATGAATTTCATGACATCTGACTAAGCTCATGAGAAATTATTGTACGTGGAGATCAAAGTTTAATTTAAATACATTATATATACATTATTGTCTGTGCCAATGATATACAAAACACAGAAATTAAATAGTAATGCATATAGTTGTTAATACATATATGGTATATGAAACTTTTTTAATGCTAACACACTTAATAAGCAAAATTAAATTAAGTAACAAATTAAGATTAAACATTTTGTTTAAGAGAAATATATGTGATCTTGAAAATAATTGAATATATTTTTGAAACAGTAATAGATTTCACAACAGAAATATATATAATAAAAAGAGTACAATAAGCATAATAATTCGTATCATTCAATGGTTTAGAAAAAGTTGAAGAGAACTTAGGGATTACGCTCAATATTTACAAGTGACTTAACTAGAGTCCAGATCATAATACTACTGAAATAGCAATAAAAGATAAGTGTCATAACACAATATCATTCCAAAAAAAAATATATATAAAAAGTTGCTGGTACTAACTAATTAGAATTTGACATAGACAAACGAAATCTAATCATATCCAAAGAATGACAGATCATACATAGATCGATAAAAAATATCGGATGTGCGATCATATTGGAACATTGTGTAATCTTATACAAACAACCAACAAATAGTCATTTACCTAATGATCCGAATAATGCCTAGGATTTGACGTATGAAGACGTTATAAAATACATTTGGCATATAAGACAGATATTATTAAATAGGTAATAAAAAGACGAAAATATTATTAGGTTATATCTGAAGCATTAAATTAGTAAAACACTAGACGTTAAAAGCGTTCCAAAACACTTATATTAATTAGTATATATTATTACACAAATATTATATTAAATAATATATATTATATATTATTATACAAATATGTTAAATATTATATTATAATTAATATTATATATTATATTATATTAAGTATTATATACAAATATTATTATACAAAGAATAACATTAAATATTATATTTTTATACAAATATTATATTAAGTATAAAAAAAAAGAAAAAATGAATGCCAAACTAATTTAAATAATCAGTTTTATAATCTCGTATTTACCTTTAAGCTATGTTTAATGTTTTTAAGCGAATATTTAATATACCAAAAAATCGAAGTGTACATAATCAAATCCCTTTTTAAGTATATTAAGCATAAATATTTAAAAAAAAAACACAAAATATAGTAAATTATCTACAGAATACAGGAAAGCAATATTAAATACTTAAAGATAAGAGGACAAAAAAAATGTCAAAAGCAGTTTACAATCAATGAATATTCAATTTTTAAGAGGTGCGTCCGAATGTCTTTTATACGCCTGGGAAAACTATTTACAACACATCCAAAAAGGATAAAAAACCAAAAACAACAAAAATATATTATATTATATTATATTATATATGGTAAAATGACCCCCTACTGTTAGGAAGGAGATGCACAAAAAATTAAATGCAACATGTGACGATTTGTAATGAAGTTGAGATAAAAACAAGGAGAAAAAAAATAGGAATCTTAAAAAACAATTTAAAAACAATGTTTTCAGAAATTCTTCAATGAAAATTTAAATCAGAAATGAGTTTAAGTGGCAAATGAGCACGGAATAAATATGCCACAATGTCAACCAGAAAAGCAGTTCATGTGCCATTACAAAATTACAAAAAAGGCATTTTTTAAAAAGATTTAATGCAAAAGGATAAAAATTGGTTTGCTTTTTTTTTTCCTTTTGAAGTGGCCCATAAACATATCAAATAAAGAGCTCTGTTCATTTATGCAAATACTTGGAATTGTAAGTTTATTAACATTTAGCGGAAACACTCATTAAAACCTTTGACAAAAATGCATTATGGAATAAGTTATAGTTTTAGGAAATAGATTTACACTTACAGAATAATGATAAAAAAAGTTCAATATTTAAATAACATACCTTGGTAAGGACTGCAATTCATTTGGCTGGACCCATACCCATTAGGGAACGTCTCTCCATAGAAACACTGTTATTAAAATATTTCCATAAGCGTGCGAACTCTAACTCATATGCATTTATGAGTTTCTTGTTAGATGTTATGAGAATATTCTCCCAATTCCCTCCAAAACCCTTTGAAAAATAAGAAAAATAACTAAGCAGTGTAATTTACATTTTATAGAAATTGGATTTACCTGCATGGTCCAATTAAGCGATCCCGTAAGCAAAACACCACGAGGTCTTGCTCGTTGTCTTCCTGTTTTTAAATCGACAACTTGCCCGGCACGATACTCGCCATCGATAATGCAAAACTTATGATGCATCAACAACACACTGCTGGGCCAACGTACGGATATACCTGCAAAGAAATGAGTTTTTAAAAAATTAGTTATATTCTTTTAATATTAAAATATTTTGAAATATAAGTATTGTTTTGTCTCCAACTTAAAATTAATTTTAATGATAGCACAAATCACTGACTTTATTGAGTGTTTCCCCACAATTTTTCCTAAAATTAAGATATCGGGTTTCATACTTAATAAAATATTTAAGTTCATTAACAATATAATCTTGTTGCTATAAAGGAATTAGAAAATCTGCATAATAATTATTTGGTCCATCCAGTTCTTATATATACAGATTCAAATACTATTAAATAATGTCAAATAACAAACATATGATATATAATATTTCTTGATTGTTTTAAATTCCCTTTCTGTTAATAGTTTGTTCGATACTTAAAGGTTTTTTTTTAGAACTTAACTTACAATCATTGAATTAGAACTATTTGCAGTGGAAAAATACTGAACACAAAATTTATAAAGAATAGATCGGAGTTCGAGTTCGATCATATTAAAAATATGCAAAGTGTGATATAATACATAAACAGTAGCATTAGAGATGTCAACGATAAATAGAAAGTTTGCACTCTATGGAAGTGCCAATATAAGCATTTACCAGAACATGTGTAGACGTAGTAGTGGCAGGACGAAAGAACGAAGTATCAATGAACCTTACGTATTACGAATCGTTAGCAACGCTATTAAATACGATGTGAAAGAACCGTCACATCAGATTGTGAAAAATGTACAGTATGAGTAATGAAGGCACTGAACTTAAATACTAAGTACAAATATAGAGAGAGATTTGATTTTTTAGATTGTCTCCTAATCTGATCCAAAACAAATTTCATTGTGTATGCTACAATATAATAAGAATAAATGAATACAAAAATTACAAATACTTTTTTCTACTTATAGAATCTAAGTAGAAATAAACTTATAATAGTTTATTTTAGTAGAAATATAAAATAGCGAATAGAATAGTATATATAGTACAAACTTATGAAGTAGTGCGTTGTAGAAGTATAAGAAGTCAATTCTACTTATATAGAATTGACTTAGAAAATGTACTCAATACGTTAATTCATGATCTCCGAAATTGCGAATAATCCAAATTTAATTAAACTTTCATTCATATATCATAAAAAGTTTTTGTTAAATATTTTTCTATATCTTATTTAAAATTTATTAACAAACATATTTAATATCACTTACTACATTTTCCTCCCCAAAAGATCTTTACTCTTATATTGAAATATTAACATAATTTTAGACCGTACACTTTATAAATGATCAAATATATTATTACTTCCTCGCCTTAAAGTATGCAACGTATTTAAATATAAAGCAAGATTTCTTGATTATTGTGAATTGGTAAAAGTAATCAAATTTGCTTATTGCTATTCTCACAATAGATAAAGTTAGGCAATCAATTCATTTAAATATCATATTTTGATAAGTAGTACAAATAAGAAATCAACAAATTCTAACTATTAAATAAATAAAAGTAATTAAATAAAAGAGTTTAATAAAAGATTTACTATATATTTTTTTTTATTAAACAACAAAAATTTAAACAATTAGATTCGATTGTAGCATTGGAAAATTGTGATCTAGATATACATATTATATATATGTGGTCTTACCACAAATAATAAAATCTATATGAAATAATTTTCTTTAGTTTATTTCACTTTTTTTCCGGCATTATGTATATAAATTCAAAATATTTAAGTTTTATTTAATATTAATAATTAATAAAACATAAAAATTTTAAGTAAAATTTAATTCTAGTTAATTAAGTGACGACAATTTTATGTTTAACAAAGAAGTTTTTGAAATAAGGAATAAAGTTCTTAGAATACGAGATGAACTTTTATGGAAGATAGATCTTTTTTCTGAAACTATATTAATTTGTATCATGACATTTAAGAAAACCATTTAGGGCTGGCCTTAAATAGTGGTAGAATTTTCAATTCTAAGCAATCGTGTTTCATACGAGTTAGCACTTGCGAATAGAATTAGAGAGAGTATTTAAGCGATAATGGCTATTCCAAAAAAACCATTATAAACCATTATAAAAATTAATACAAAATATCTATATGCAGATTAAAGGTTAGAAGTATAGCTGACCAACACACGTCTATAATGTAAATTCAATGCTAAATCCGCACATATGTACCTGTTTTCCCGCCTTTGTGTGGAGAAGCAAACAATTCTTCATCAGCTGTAAAGACGCATAGTCGCGGGACATACACCCTGTCGGTTTTGATCTATTGATGACATCCCTCACATGTACATGCATTCATTTTGCTATAGCAACAACAATAACAACACACCTTGAAGTAACCTTATTATGGCAGCATATCTAATGTGACATCGCCCATGTCTACTTCCATTTAGATCGTTCTTTGTTACAACAATAACAACGGCACACTTTAAAGTAACCTTACAACAGAATGTCTTATGTAACAATCTAAATCTAACATTATTATATATTAATATATTATTTCTAATAAAAGACATTGGAAAACAAAGAGCACATACAAACATACGGCTTAAAAGTGCAAGAATAACTGGGACTTTTTACCATATTTAATATAAACTATGTGAATTTATAAAAAACAGAAACGACTGTAGATTTTATTTTAATATTTTATGTTACAGATAGAATACGGTACATTAATGTAATTATGTAAATTTAGATTTATTGACCACAAATACAATTTAAAAAAGAAATAAGCTTTGGACCTTAAACACAGTATATTCTGTCGTAAATTTCAAGTACTAAGAGATATATCAAAATGTAATTAAAAAAGAATTAATAAATGGAGAAGCGGTACATGACTTGAAAGCGACACAGTTTTCCTAAAAACACAAAAAGTTGGCAATTCTTTTTAAAAATAGCAAACACTCTACTTCCGCTCTACTTCACTCACATATGCAATCGATGCTCAATTTAATCGAATATTATAATATTCCATTAAATACGTTTATATAAATAACATTTAATGTGTCAGTTAATTGCACTAAAAAAAAAATAAATACGAACATGCAGTCTAAACGTCAGCTAACTGCACCAAAATAAAAGGTAAAAACCAAAATTTTTAAAAATATCTAATTGAAAAATTTTTCAGTGTTTGAAATTGTAAAATTATATTCACAGGTTGGCAGTAAAATAAACAATTTTAATATTAAAACTGTTTTGATATCAAGAGCATTACGTATCTCGAACACGTAGTTAGAGACGATCTTCGGAGAAGAGTAAATGTGCTTTAATATTATTATAATGAAAATGGGTTTATTTGCAAAAAAAATGTGATCTTAAGTCAATTTTACACATTTTTGTAAGTAGTAATTTATTTAAATTTGATGCCAAATTCAATTATTATGAAAGAAACTATTTTCTTAAATAAACTATTTTAATAAAAACTAATTTAAACTATTTTCTGTAATAAAAAAAATAAAAAAAAAAAAATTTTAATAGAAACTAATTTTTGAAGACAAATTTTCAAACAGTAGTAAATTACAACCAATTTTTTTATTATTTTTTTAGACAATTAAATGAATTGTTAACTGCCCATAAAGTTGTTTTCAGTATTGCCAATTACCAACATCAGAGGTCTTTTTAGAAATATTTCTTATGGCATTTTCGAATGCAATCTAGATTAGCTCTCAGTCTGTCTTATTTTATTGTGCAATTTAAGGTTAACATTTTTGTAGTAGTATTAGTAGACACTTATATTTATTATAACAACATATATCGAGTCAAATGACAGACTTACCAACGCCGCGTTATTGAATCTCAGAATGGTTACAGGCTCCTCAGGGAGGCAGGCAGATCTAAGGTCAATTATTGCTTAGTCTGATGAAGTGATGATTTTGAAGATACTTCGAGTTAATAAAGAGTTAAAGTGCTCAAATGCTCAAATAGCTTCAACATAGAAATAGCACTTGATTTTTCAAGTCATATAAAACATCTGTTAATTTCAGAGCAATATTCTCTACTCTAAGAAAAATATCCAAAGTGTTATAAATTAATCTGAAGCGTTATACATCTCACTCGAGATTTACCAACTGAAAATGAAAATTGCACTAAAAGTAAATCTCGACTGAAAAAGTTACTCCAATCAAAAACGGCGTTATATGTAATTATTCGTAAATAATTGCTTGATATTATATTTTTATGTTTTATGTTATATATTATATATTATAATATATTATGTTATTAAATTCTATTAATATAATAACTTATATATATTTATTATAGCTATCTCTAATATAAGATATAATTACATATTATATAAATTAATTAGTGTATATAATTATTTATTTATTGCTGGAAAAATTTAATTTATTTTTCTTGTCATTGTTAAAAAATGTTAACATCCCCCCTTGCGACGCCTACATTTCTATACAAAATTATAAAGTCAAGTACATAAAAGTGCTTATGCATCTAAGAAAATAAATAAAAACAAAACGCAAAAAAAGCTTTCTTGCTTTATATTTTGTTTTGCCCAACGATCGCACGTACGCTTTGCAATAAATAAACAAACAAAAACTAAACAAATAAATAAAAGCTTTCGCCGGGAGCTTTTTCTGTTTGTGGAAATTATGCAAGGAAGGCGGCGGCGATAATTGTTGTTGTTTATATTTTAGAATTTAAAAAAATTAACAAACAAAAATGCAATAACAAAATACAAGGCAAAGGCGGAGAATAAAGCAATGAACATAAGGAAAAAGGGAGCCAGCCAAACGCAATTGTTTTTATACTTTTTTTTTTAAGATTTGAAATTTGTTGCTGTTGTCGAGTGCATAAGAATTCATACAAAAGACAGAAAGCAGCTGTTGTTGAATGTCTTTTGTTTTTGTGTTTTTTGCTAAGTGTAATTTTATAGTTTAAATTAAAAATGAAAGAAAATTAAAAAAAAATTATAAAAAGTATTTTGAAAGAATTTAAAAATGACAGAGCACAGTAGCAAAAAATCCAACCCTGCAATTTAGATACACAAAGAGC